GAAGGATGTGCAACTATGGCATACAACTATCTACTGGGGCTTTGGGGAGAAAAAAGGAGGAGGATTGGCAATAGATGTTAGCTCAGAGCTAGTCTTCCTCAGCAAAAAGAGGAGAATTAGCACGGATGTTAGCTCAGGGCTGATCTTCCTCACAAAAAAACCAAAAGAAAAGAAAAGAAACCCTGCTTGGCCAGCAAGGAGTCATTTATACAATGACTACCTGGCACATGAGGGCGAGGTCTCTAGCTCCATGAGCATTCACAGCGCACGCTCACAAGCCAGTTACGCATTTGTACAACAGTACCTACCATGAATCAGCCCGAACTTCATGCACAATATTTCTTTCACTTCTTTTTCTCTCTTCACTGCAAATTTTTGGCCCAAACTGTATTGGGGGTTTTTTTAAATAGAAACACAGACCAAAAAGTTTTAACAAGACATTACAATAGCAGCTGTAATTGACCATCATCTCCTGGCTGGAAGCTCAGGGAATGATGTGAGAAGGCAGCCAGTGGAGGGGGCATCTTGCACCATTACCCATGCCTGCACCCCTTCATGGCCCGGTGCCAACTTGCTTTTGGCTTCAAGTGGCCTTTTACTTGGCCTCCACAAACACACTTGTAATAATAACAAGGCACCAGCTGGGTGGCTGGTTTCAGTCCTACCTCTTGCCACTCAACACTCCAACATCTTATCAACAGGTGGCACACACTCTCGGGCACCGGGGAGTCACCCCCACAGCCCCGCAGCTGGTGGGACAGAGGGAGGACTTAGGCAAGAGCCATACCCAGGAGCTATCTCCCCCAACTGGCCAGGCAGCCCTTGTCATCTGAAAGGACACTGTAACTCTGCCAGCCCACTTGTCAAGCACACACCAGATGTCCCAAGCCCTGGCTGATCTGACCAGTAAAGATACGAGCCTAGTTCAATCTGGAGAGTTTCTTACTTACACAGTGGAAGGAAGAGCAGCCCAAGGTGGCAGCTCCCTGTGGTCCTCATCCCACACACCAAAGGGAAACACAGAAACCAAGTGGTAGAACCACAGCACAGTTGTAGGACACTCTGTTGCTGGGGAGCACATTTTAGATGGCACATGAGGGTTTTATCAGCTGCAGCTCTGTTCTGAGGGACTGGGCCCCCAGGGGAGCCAGGGAGGGAGTGAAAGCTGGCCTCTCCCTGGGGTTCCTCCAAGACTTCCATCAGCTGTAGTTCACGCCTTTGTCTGCATGGCCTGTGTGCATGCAGGGCACCAAGGCAGAGCTGTGTCTCTGTGCACACAATGAGACACACAAGCAGACACGAAAATTCACAGGAAACACAGAGGCGCACACAACACTCAAGGACCAACCCCTACAGAAACCACACAGCGCAGCCCTCAGCCACACACACACTGTCACACACCCCTTCACACCACAGGCTCAGCTGCGCCTGCCCAGTCACAGGGTCAGAGACAGGGACCCACAGCTACCTAACACACACCACAGTCACCCCATACCTGCCCAACATCAGAAAGCCAATGACCCCCAGACCAGCGTGCTCCAGTCACTAAGGCGCCACTAGCTGCCTTCACAGGTTTAGGAGACCAAGTGGAGCAGGTAGATGGTGGCTGCAAAGTGAAGGCCCATGGTGGATCCCACCCAATGTGTGAGTGCCATGTGGCCCCACCGAGTCCACACACACAGGGGACATGTCCCCCTACTGCATGTCCCATCACATGCCAGCCCCCTGTTTCTGCACACATACCTCCCAAGAGGTGCCCACACCACCCAGTCCTGGGGATCTGGAGGGTCAGAACCCCTCCCTCCAGACCAGGCCCTCCTTGGTGACCCAAAGGTGGCCCAGGAGTCACCATGCCTATGTCCACATAGGGGAGGAGTGCTGCTGGGGTTGGGGGGCTGGTTCAGGTCAGACCAGGGGTGCCAAAGTAGGCCTTCCTGTGCCAACAGCTGAGCCGAGCTGTGGAACATCTTCCAAATGCAGGCCTGTCAGACTCCTGTTGCAGTTCACAGCTCCACCCACCCGGGCCACCCAGGACTCAGAGCTACCAGGTATCCCGAGCTGGCCTGGGCAGAGAGGTCTTGTGGTCACCTGGCTGGCCACAGCACAAATTCCTATTGCAGACCCCAGGCTTCATGTGGGTGCCCTGCATGAAGACTGAGAGTAGGGGCACAGGTGACAGGCTGGCCCAGACTGAAATCCTGGCCTCCCACCATCCAGTTCCCGCCTCAGAACTTAGGTGGGCACCCTCACCCAGCTGCTATTGCCCTCTACCCATGACCTCCAGGGGAGGCAACAGCACCCAGGCACAGCCCCAGCTGGCTCCTGTGACCACTCAAGGCGGGCTCGGCTCCCACATCACACCTCCTGCTCCTGCCACCAGCCGGGAGTGTGCTACACAGTGCCAGGGTGCGTCTCCAGCCTTGGGTTGTGCCCACCCTCCATGCTCCATGGCACTGGTCTGAGTGCTTGTTGTCATTCATTCATTCATTTTATTCATTGCTGCTTCCAGGCTCAGAGGGATCACAAGGACAGGCAGGGCAGGGAGAGCCAACCCTGCCAGGACTGAGGAAACTCATCCTGGGGAAAACCGTGAGGACCATGTGGGGACTTCAGTGTGTCCCCAGAGGGCTCAAGAACCCTCCCCCTGCCCTGTGTCACTCCCCTAGTCAAAGCCCAGTCATCTCACAAAGCCACCCAACCACTCAGCACAGTGGCTAGAGAGTGACTTGTGAAAGGCAAGTCTGACCACGTCTGTGCCCCCAAACTCTTCATACCTCCTGCTGCTCCTAAGACAAGCCCTCGAGAGCCTCTGTAACATGCACCCCCAGTACCACCCTCCCTTTGGCTTCTGCAGCCCAGCCACACAGTCCCTCTCACCGTCTACCAGGCCCCAACTCTCGGCAGGGCCTTTGCACAGGTCATTCTTCCCACCAGAACCCCTCCTGTTAAGGGCTGCTCTGGTTGGTTCAGCACCAGCCTCCCTGCCCTGCCTGTCTCCCTCTTTTAGGATGTTTCATTTCCATCTGTGATTCTGGGGTGTGCCTCTCCAACAGGGCTGGAAGCCCCTCAAGGGTAGGTCCTGTGTCTGTTGTGTTCACACAGGATCCGCAACTCCTGGCACAGCAGCTGGCTCAGGCCCCCAGCCACTCAGGGGACCTCAGGAACAGGGGAACCAAGCCAACGGTGTGAAGTCTGGGTTCAGGCTGGGGGTGGGCAGCACCAGGCAATCATGGCAGCCCCAGATGGGGACTCAATCTCCAACTGTCCTGGCCAGGCAGCTCCAAGTGTGGTCCTTTGTCAGGGTCTCAACCCCCAGCAATTGGGGGAGGCAGGGGGAAGAGACAGCCAGACCCCAGTGTCACCCCACTGCCTAGCTTTAGATGGTTCCTCTGGGCTGGTCCTTGACCCCTTCCTCTCTGGGACCACTGGTGGACAAGGACCCAAAGCCCCGAGGAAACAGCTACTTCCATCTGCTGAGGCTCTCGGGGACTGACATGTGCAGACCTGCAAACAGCGGCCACTGCGGTGGAGCTGCCCTCTCCTATTTCTATCCTGTAGCCTGACCTCGTCACCCTTTCCTGGGGCCGAGCTACTGTGTGCAGGTGTTAAAGAAAATATTACTCTGACACTTGTTAAAATGGTAAGGAAGACTTTATTCAGGACTATTTCAATAGGTGCCAAGACTATCACAACAGAGAAGAGAAATGGGGCTCAAACTCCAAATGCAGCAAAGACAGCCAGGGATTTATAGCCCAGAGCAGAGGCAGGGGGTCAGCGGATGGAAAATTACCAAGAGGAGACACCAACGGTAGGGAGATTCTTGCTGAAGCTAAGCCAGGGTAATCAGATCTTGAGAGCACAGGATGAAAATTTGATCAGATATCAAGGGTGATCAGATATCAAAGGTAGGGGATTCTCTCTAAACTGACTTAGTAGGATTAGGCAGGCGGAACACAGGTCCCAAGAGTAAGGCCTAGTGGAAAAAGAGGGCTCAGAGATGCCTGCCCAAAGTTTGGTCGAGTCTTTGTCAAGGGACCACCCTGGAGGAGGACCCTCCTTGGATCCGACCTTTCAGAGCCCCCAGGGGTCAGCATGTCCTCTCCTCCCTGCGCCTGGGCATCCCACTCATGGCACTCAGACCGGTCCTCTCGGGATGGTCACACAAGCCTCCTTTCCAGCCGTTTTTTCCATGACTCTTACCTACTTTTACATTTTGCAATACAGCCGCCCCTCCCAATTTTCAGCAGCGCTCCCTCCCACTGAAACGAGGAAAGCATGGTGCTACTTCTCCGTGACGGGAATCCCCGCTTCCTGCTCCCATAAGCCCAGGATAGTCAGCCGTCTGAATTTTTTTCTCTAGGTTTTCGTAATTTATAAAAAGTCTAACTGTGGATTCCAGGGAATGTATTCTCAAGGTTGGGATGAGACCTTGGGCCAGGTTTTCTTCTCAACGCCCACGAGGCTGAGGGCAGGGGACGGGCCCTCCCGGGGGTGGTTGATGCAGGCGCTGCCCTGCCGACCGCCGCTGCAGGAGCGCCCAGACCCTGCGAGAGGGGACCCGCTCGACAGGAGGTGCGAACGAGCGCCCCCCAAGTGGAAGACAAGGAGACTGAGGCCGGAAGGTGACTAAGCTGGCTCAAGGTCACGCCGCTTGTACTGGCACAGCTCGGGGCTCAAAGACTCCAACGCTTCCTGGGGGAGCGCCAGGCTAGGACAGCAGCGACCCCAGGCTGGGAGAGCGCCAGGCTGCCCCAGCGAGCCCTTGGCGGCTCAGGCCAGCCCTGAGAGACCGGACTAGGGGCGGCGCAGGGCGGGGCCTCGGTCCGAGCCGACTCTGCGGCCAGGGCCGGCTTCTTCAAAATCTCGCGATTTCGAGGCTGTGGCGTTACTCTTCTGAGGCCTGTGGGCGGGACGGCAGGGTGAGGGGCGGGGACAATGCGGGACCCTCCTAGGAGCCTCCACGGAGGGGCGGAGCGAGCCTCCTTCTAGATAACGGTGAAGGCGGGCCGCGCCGCGCTCAGAATTGTCGTAAAAGGGGGCGGGCCGCGCCGCGCTCAGGATGACGTATGGGGGTGCGTGTCGCTGCAGCCGGCGGCTGGCAGGGACCGGGCGCCATGGAGCGCTACGCGGGCGTCTTGGAGGAGGCGGTGGACGGGGCCCAGCAGCAGGAGCGGCACTACCAGCTGCTGTCGGCGCTGCAGAGCCTGGTCAAGGAGCTGCCCAGGTGCGCGGCCGCGGGGCGGGGCGAGGCGGGCGGCCGAGGCGGCCCGGTCCCGCCCGCGCTCACCGCGCCCCTCCGCCGCAGCTCCTTCCAGCAGCGGCTGTCCTACACCACGCTCAGCGACCTGGCCCTGGCGCTCCTCGACGGCACGGTGTTCGAGATCGTGCAGGGACTGCTGGAGATCCAGCACCTCACCGAGAAGAGCCTGTACAACCAGCGCCTGCGGCTGCAGAACGAGCACCGAGGTGCGCGGGGGCGGTGGGGCGGCGCGCGCTCCTCTTCCGGGAGCTCAGCCTGCCCTGGGAGCTCTCGGGCTCTGTGCAGGGCGAGGCCTTCCCTGGGTGTCGCTCGGAAGAGGTCCCTAAAATTGACCAGATCTTTGCTAGCGCTTTTTGGTGACAAATAAGTCAAGCCAGTTTTGTCAGTTGCACGGTCCCCTTTTAACATAACATCCAGAAGCTCCCTGCTCGGGCTTTCCCGTGCCCCTACTCTTTTCCAGGCAGGACGGCCCAAGGCCTCGGTGCCTGGTCAGCCCACGGGCAGATCCTGGTGGTGGTGGTCCGCGTAGTGGTTGACAGCCCCCAGCGATGGCCCTCAGTGTTGACAGCTCTGCGGCGCCCTTTAGGTCAGTTCCCTCCAGCGGCGCAGAGCTCCACACCAGCTGCGCATCGAATTCCCACGCACCGTGCCCTGTGGCACTCTCCGGTACCTGAAAACATCCCCTCTGGAGCCACACGCTTGGCCACAGCCTCGTGGGCCTGGGCCTCTCCCAGGCGTTCCACTCGGGGGACTCCGGAGCCCCCTCCTGCAAGGTATGCAAAGCAGCTTTCCCTGCCGCATCAGATTTCCCACCTTTGTTATTTTATTTTTCCCTAACTTATTTATAAAAAAAAGTTCGAACATTTAGAAAAGTTGAAAGAATAGTATAATGAATACTCGCTATAATGCTCTCCCGCTAGATTCGATAATTAACATTTTGCTGAAGTTCTTTATATCCCGAAATATATGCAACACCAAAGGGCTTCACCGTGAGTCTTCAGCATTCCTCTAGACCAGAATTTTCAACCGCAGTACTGTTGACATCTCTGGCCAGAGAAGTCTTCATGGTGAGACAGTGTCCTGTGAATTGTAGGATGTTTAGCAATATCTCTGGTTTCTACCCACTAGATGACAGAGGTACCCTGCCCCAGTCGTGACAACCAAAAATGTCTCCAGACAGCCTTGGGGGTCAACATTGGCCCAGGGTTGAGAACCAGTTCTCTAGAACACGAACACTCTTGTACATAACCACAGTGGATAACCTCTTCAGAAATTAATTATTCCTGGGTATCTTTTGACCCTTCCACGGTGGAATTAATTCACTTGTCTCAAATTGTCTTTCACTTTAGAAGGATCCAATGTACATTCATGCATTGTGGTTGGTTACTTTAGTCTCTCCACTTCTGGAAAAGTCCCCATCCTTTATTGTGGCGTTGACTTTTTCAAGAGTCCAGGGCATTCTATATGTAGAATGTCCCCACTCTGGATTTGTCAGATTGCTTCCTCATGCTGTCATTTAACCTGTTTCTCCACCCTCTGTGTTTCCTGTAAACTGAACAGCAGGTAGAGGCCTGATGATATGCACGTTAAATGTTTGTGGCAAAAATTCTTCCTAGTGATGCAGAGTCCCTTCCGTATGGGGGCTGGCAATGTACATTTGCCCCAGGATTAGTGTGTTTCTATCAGGAATGGATGTTGGGTTTTCTCAGATTCTTTTTATGCATCTGTTGAGATGATCATGTGGATTTTCAGTTACTATGGTGAATTGCTTTGCTTTTTTTGTGTGTGTGTGTGAAGATGATCAGCCCTGAGTTAACCTCCATGCCAATCTTGTTCTTTTTGCTGAGGAAGACTGGCCCTGGGCTAACATCTGTGCCCATCTTCCTCCACTTTATGTGGGACACCGCCACAGCATGGCGGGACAAGCGGTGCGAGGGTGCGCGCCCGGGATCCGAACCTGGGCCGCCAGCAGCGGAGCGTGCGCACTTACCCGCTACACCAGGGGGCCGGCCGCTGCTTTGCTTGTTTTAATTCCTGGGATAAACTGCATTCCTGGGAGGAATGCTACTTGGTCATGATGTATTATCTTTTTTCTCTATGTTGGATTGGATTTGTAAAATCTCGTTAAGAATTTTTGCCCCTGTGTTCGTGATGGACATTGGTCTGTAGTTTTCTTTTAATATCTTTGGTTTGGCTCTCAGGGTAATGCTGGCTTCATAGAATAAGTTGGGAAGTGTTCTCTTCAGTTTTCCAGAAGAGTTTCTGTAGAATTGGTATTACTTCTTGCCTGAGTGTTTGGGTGGTGCCTTTGTAAACATTTTTATTGAGCTATAACATGCATACAAAGTACACAGCTCATTATCTTTAATACTCAAATTGTTGCACATTGGCCAATGGGAGAACTTGAGGCTGGCCGCTGTGCCCTTTTGATGTGTCCCCATCGTTCTTTGAGCACTGTCTGGCTTTCTGGTACAGGAAGGTGTTCAGGCTCATCTTTTTTTGCTCTTTCCCTGCCTCAGCCCCTCTTCTGTCAGCCCTCCACCTCCAGCTTCCCCACGCCAACAACCTCTCATCGGGCCAGACCTTCTCTTAGTGCTTTTTCCCACTCCTCCTGCCTTTGACTGAGGCTCTGCCACATGCAGGAGGTGGTGGCGGCTCACTCCCTTGCTGTTAGTAAGTAGCAGTTGCTCTCCTTTCAGTAATCTTTGTTTATCTCCACAGAGGTTAGTAGTTCAGGGTGCTCAGAATAAACCACTCAAAATTTAAAAAAAGGCGGGGAACCAGCCAACCAGCCATTTCTCCATGGAGCCCTGGTTCCTTTTAGTGGGGAGGGTTTTTTTTTTTTCTTCCCCTGGGTAAGATTCGCCCTGAGCTAACATCTGTTGCCAGTCTTTCTCTTCTTTTTTTTCCCCTCCCCAAAGCCTCAGTACATAGTTGTATATTCTAGTTGTAGGTTCTTCTAGTTCTTCCACATGAGCTGCCACCATGGCATGGCCACTGACAGACAAGTGGTGTGGTTCCACGCCCGGGCACCAAACCCAGGCCACTGAAGCAGAACACCCCGAACTTTAACCACTAGGCCATCAGGGCTGGCCCGTAGTGGGGAGTTTTTGATAACTCTACTCTAGACACTTTGCTACTTGTCCTTTGGAAGATTCAGGCAGATTTTGGTGCCACCAGCCATGGGCGAGCACCCTGTGACTTTCTGCTTTTCCTTTCCTCTGACTTAGCAGGTGGTGACTGGCAGCCATTGCTCTGCTTGGTCCTTACTAAGGCCAGGCCCCTTCTGCCCAGGCAGTGGGCACAGCTCCCTTCTCACCTCTGGTTGCTCACCCAGTGGGCTCTGGAAGTTGACCTGGGATTTATAGCAACAGTTGATAAACAGAGCGAAGGAGATGACATTTCCCTGCACTTATCTGTTTCCTCGAATCCTGCCACCACATGGTGTAAACATTAACTAGGGAGTGTCTTTCTTGTCCCTCTGTTTATGGAGATGTCTTGAAGGTGGCTCTTGGTTTCAAACTCTAAATTTAATGTGATAAATACCATAGCCGAGGTGTTTACAGAGTGTTAGGAGACAGGAGACTGGGGAAGGCTGTGAGCACCACAGGGCCTCCTGAGAAAGGCTGTGATGTAAGCTGTCTGCCTAGGAGGGAATTTTGGGTCTGTGTTCCCTTACAGCCAGGGACCCCTCCACACAGTGGACATCTAGCCACTTACTGGTCTACGATTTTGGCTGTGTAGTGTCAAGCGTTCTGTTTTGTGATTGGTTTCTTTCCATCCCATGATACTTCTCTCCTCTGTCCAGTCCTATCACACTGGACAGTTTCACACATGCTTGTATTTATGGTACAATTTAGTGAGGACCGTGGGAGCTTTGCTCAGTGGCCATGGTGAGCTCCTCTCAGAGCAACACAGACTCCCCGGCACAGGGCTTCTGCTGGCTCATCTCATCCTTCGGCCTCCCAGGGTCTGTGCCCACCCTCCTCCCTCTGGGAGCTGTGGATGGTGCAGGGCGGCTCTGCCCACCCTGAGGGGCAGCACTGAGCAGGGAGCGACACCACCACCCCTGGTGGGCAGAGGCCGCACCGTGCTTGGGCACAGTGACCCCTCACCGCCTCCCTTTCCCGGCCTCTGCCTGGGTGGTCTCCTGGACATCACTGGATGTCCCATGGATGATGGGCAGGTTACACCCAGGACTGCTGGCCTATGGCCATCTGAGCCCAGAAGCCTCCAGAGCGCAATCTCCCACCTCTTTGCCCTGTCCTGCCCTGCCTCACCTCCTCTAGTGCCCTGCACCTTCCGGAGTCCCTTGGAGCCTCAATGCTGAGAAGGGCCCTGCCCTGGGTGAGGAGGGGACTGAGTGGGCTGGGGGCTGGGTGTCCCCTGGAGCTCCACCCAGCTTCCAGTGCAGGGCTTTGGGCGGGCTGGATCATCAGGTGGGGCGTTATGTCTACACCTTTGGCCTAGCTGCCCTTTAATGGGACTGCTGGGGCAGGCGCTGAGGTGGGAGGTGTTCCTGGCCCCCCTGCCTGCCCCTGCCGCCTGCTGATGGACTCTGTTCTCGTCCCCTCCCAGTGCTCAGGCAGGCGCTGCGACAGAAGCACCAGGAAGCCCAGCAGGGCTGCCAGCCCCACAACTTGCCCGTGCTCCAGGCGGCCCAGCAGCGTGAGCTGGAGGTAGGAGTGCAGGCAGGGTGGGCACCACCTGGGGTCTGCTGGCTGGGCTGTGGTGGAGGGCGTTCAGGTGGCTTGGGAGCTGCTGGCTGCCCTGGGCCTCAGCCTGGGGTGGGCTGCTGGAGGCCTGGTGAGTGCCTGCATATGACTCTTCAATGTGGGGGGTTGGGCTGTGCCAGGCCGAGTAGAGTGTATGTGATGCTCCGTCCCCCTTCACCTGCTCCCCAAGACTGCAGCTCCTCGTGCGCTGGGCCTGTGCAGGGCAGGTGCTGAGTGGGGGCTGTTGTGCCCTGTGGCCTTGGAGGAGGTGGTAGGCCGGAGGGTGTGTTTGAGGCTTTGATGGACAAGGGGCTGAGCCACCCTCACCGTGGCAGGCAGTAGAGCACCGGATCCGCGAGGAGCAGCGGGCGATGGACCAGAAGATCGTCCTGGAGTTGGACCGGAAGGTGGCAGACCAGCAGAGCACACTGGAGAAGGCGGGGGTCACTGGTTTCTATGTGACTACCAACCCACAGGTCAGTGCCGCAGGCCTGCCCTAGCATAGCTCAGAGGACGCTGGTCTCCCAAGGCCCGATTCCATCTGGGGTTTTATAGCTGATCTCTGGGGAGCCAGGCCTTGCAGGGGCTGGGAATTAGGCTCTAGGAAGGGTTTCTGTGCTGTGCTCAGCACAGAGGCCAGTCCCACCATCTCTGCTCACAGGAGGGTAAACTACTGCTTGCAGGGCATTGCGCACCTATCCCAGGCCCACTGCACCCTGCAGGGCCCTCGTCTGCTCCCCCTGCATATACACCTGTGTGTGCTGAGCCAGGGCAGTGCAGGCCCTGCTGTGGGCTGGAGTCCCAGCTTCTGCCCCTTTCTGGCAGGCCATGGCCGGGCTTCATTGGAAGTCAGCCCCATGGGCTCATTGCCTGGTACCCTCTAGGTCTTGATATTGGCCTCTGCCCCTTGGGAAAAGGGGACTTCTGCCTGTGGCCTTTGCCAAGGCAAAAGGGGACCAGGTGTAGCTCTGGCCTCACAGCAGCCCCTCTGCATCCCAGGAGCTGACACTGCAGATGAACCTGTTAGAACTCATCCGGAAGCTGCAGCAGAGGGGCTGCCAGGCTCGGGGGGCAGCCCTGTGACCAGGTGGGGTCCCTGCCAGTTACCCACTGCCTGTCAGGGCTGGGAAGACTGCCCATCCTACTGCCACCAGAGCCAGCGTAAAGCTGAGTGGAGCTCCTCTTCCTGACATCTGGCCACCACCTTCCCAGCTGCCTGCAGGAGGGCTTGCCCTCCGAGGAGAGGCCAGGTGGACCTTGACTGCACCTGCTGCCCATCTTTGTCTGGGTTTGTTTTGTCCAAAGGTAGGATGGTATGGTAAAGGGCAGAGCGGGCCCAGCCTGCCAGCTGGTGCCCCAGAGCTGGGCGAAGAGTGGGGCTGGAGGTCCTAGCACCTTCTCACTCCACTGGGCACATCCCGACCTTGGTCATGCCCTGGGCTTCATGCTTGTTCTGGTCTCGCCCCCCCCACCCCCCGCCCCTTGGCACGTGCAGCCTCCAAGTGGGAGAGGCCTGACGCCCAAGCCCTGTGTGACCCAGAGAAATAAAGACATCTCAGTATGGCCTGTATGTGTCTCGTGTGAGAGCTCTGGGGCGCCTGCTGCAACCAGGGCCCAACCAGGGCCCTTGCCTGGTAGCTCTGTGCCTACAGAGGAATCGGCAGAGGATGTCCCCAACCCCCATGTCACAGAGGCCCCTCCCTGGGGCACCCCTCTCTGGGGCTCCCCCATGCAGTTGCAGGCCCAACCCCACCACCTTTCCTGCTGGGGCAAGCTCCAGGGTACTAGGACCATATCCAGTCTGCTCTGTGGGGCTGGGGGCAGCCACGGGCCTGCTCCTTTCAGAGCAGCAGGAGTGTGGTGTGGGTCACTGGGGTGGCGGCACAGAGTAGCAGGAAGGGTCTGAGGGAGGGAGAAACCCAGCGTGAGGAGGCACCAGCCTGCCCTGGGAGTGTCCTGTCTGCACTGATCTGAGCACAGGTGCCCTGCTGGGGGTTGGGGGGGCATGTCCAGCACCTATGTGGCCAGGTCTGCCATAGAGCCAGAAGGGAGGTGTTGGTGGGTCCGCCCTGTCCACAGTGGGCCTGACCCCCAGGGCACATGATGCAGGAGAGGCAGAACCTGAAAGGGAGCTGTCTAGAGCTGTCGGAGCCACTCCCCCTTTGCTTGCTTACCCCACGTGAAGAAGAGCATTGCAGGCATCGAGTTGCAGGCCTCAAGCTGCAGAATGTGTTTTATTGACCAGGCCAGCTTCCCCAGCCTGGCCGCTGCCCCCCTGTGGGGCTTGGGGTGTGTGGGCTGGTTCCTGGCAGCAGGAGGACCTTTGGGTGCAGGGTTGGGGGTGGGCAGAGACTGGGGCCGTGCTCACTCGTTGAGGAGCAGTCTGCGGCAGTGCCCGCAGCTCTGGCAGGTATGAGACTTGACACACACCTGCGTGCCCATGCCCTGGGCAGGGCCCGGGTGCACCGAGGCCCCACTTCCAGCGGGTCTCACAGGCTTGGGTGTAAAAAGGTGAATCCTTCTGAGGTTGGGGTTGGCGGAAGGTGCAGTGTCAGCCTGAGGGCATCTGGAGGGAGCCTGGCGGGCAGCGGCCCTCAGGCACTAGGCCGGGTGGTGGAAGAGGCCGCCCGTGCGGAGCCTCCGCATGAGCTCCTGCCACAGCAGCTGCCGCTGGCGCTGGCCGCCCATCAGGATGCCACTGTTCTCCAGGGCGCGGCGGGACAGGTAGGGCAGCACCTCCATCACAGGGCCGTACGGCACATACTTGTACACGGGGAAGCCCGCCTGGCCTGCATGGGTGGGCAGTGAGTCCCGGCCCTGCACACCCCCAGCCCCGCCCCCGGGGAAGCCAGCTCACCCAGCGGGAAGCTGATCTGGTCACACATGCCCAGCAGCTGTCCAAAGGACACCTGTCGGTCGGCAGGGTGCAGGCCCAGCTCTTCCATCCTGTGAACGGGCGAGGTAGTGGGTGAGCCCTGGGCTGGCTCTGAGCCCTTCTGCCACCCCCAGACCCCAGCCACACTCCCGCCTCCGTCCCCTGCAGGTAAGGCGTGGCATAGGGTCTGTCCTGCCCAGACCAGGTCTCTGTGCGCCGCTGCTCCCACCTCGGCCCACAGCCACCAAGTCCTGTCCTTCCGCAGCCAGCCCCTATGCTTGCTCCCCAGCCCTTCCCTCTTGCCTGCCCTGCCCTGTGCCCTGGCCCACGAAGGCAGACCCACGTGGAGGCCCACCCTGCGGCACGGCCCGGGAAAGCTCTCAACCCTCCCCCCGCCTGTTCCTCAAGCCCCTCGCCCTCATCTGGGGACGTCCCCGTTCCCCAACCCCAGCCTCTCGTCCTCCCTTGCTGGCTGCTCTGTCTCGTTCACAGCAGCCACCAGCTGCCGGTGGCCGTCCCATCTGAGAGGCGGCTGCTCTAGATGGAGGTGTGCTGCAAGTGCACGCGGGGTTTGAAGGCTGAGTGTGGAGAGCACGCAAGACAGCTCCTTGTGCTCTGAAACACCAAACACGTTTCCATGGGAGTACGCTGCATATGTTGGCCTAATTGAAATGTATGATTGAAATTAACTTCATCTTATAATGTGGCTATTAAAACATTTAGAATTAATAGATGTGGCTCACATTTCTATTAGTGCTGCTCAGATGCTGGGGCGGGGATCCCCGATGCTGTGCAGCACTCTCCTGTCCTCACACCTGCCCTCACAGGATCTTACAACTCCTCCCAGGGTTGGAGATACCTACGTCTCGATGGTCCCCACATTGTTCTCTCTGGCTTCCCATATCCATGGATCCAGACTCAGCGTATCTCCACCAGCACTCAGGAGGCCGCCCCCTCCTCCCCCCTCCCCCAGGGGCAAGTTCAGCCTGGGTCCTCACACCCACCCTGGCCACACCCAGGCCCACCTCCCTTCTCCTCACTGTCTCGGCCCCAGGCTCCCAGAGCACCAAGTGCATATTACCCTGGACTCTGCGTGAGGCTCGTCCCAAAGGCCCTTCCTCTCCTTCCCTCAGAGCTGGGCTCCAATGGCGGGTGCCCAGTCTAGAGTGGGCCTGTCACCATGTCACCCTGGTCTCCGGTTTATGCATCTTTGTCTCCACTAGAACATGAACCCCATGTGAGCAGCGCTGCCACCGTGTTGCTGCCTGGCTGGTGGTGGTGGGGACACTCATGTAGCGTTCTGCAAAGACGGTTGCTGACCACTCCCCTACTGGTGTCCACGCCCTCTGCTGTGTGACTGCAGCTTTGCCCAGTGCAGAAGGCGGCTCTCTCTACCTCGTGTCTGGGCTGGGTTTCATGACTTCCTTTGGCCAACAGGACAAGAGCAAACATGACCTGGGCAGAGGCTTGCCCTCTCTAGGGCGTCTGGAAGCCTGAGACCACCATGTGGTGAAGCCTGGGCTGGCGTGTTGGACACTGGACATGTGATGCAGTCCCCTTTGCTGTCCCAGCCACAAATGAGGCCATGTACAGCCAACCAGGCCCCAGCTACCACGGATTCAGGACGGACCCCAGACAAGGCCAGCAGAAGCAGCCCCCAGCTGAGCCCAGCCCCCACTGCTGATCCACAGAACACACTTGTTCAGGCCTGAGTCTTAGGTTGGTTTGTTACTTGGCCAAGGCTGACATAGGCTGTCTGAGTGAGGCCCCCGATGCGCGGCATCAGAGAGACCCACACTGCTTCCCCAGGGAAGGCTCCCCAGGCCCAGAGCAGAAGCACAGCCGCGGCCTGCAGGGTAGAGCCTGATCCATGACACCGGTATCTGGAGGCTGCAAGGAAGGAGAGCGCTCTACTGGCACTCAGGACAGAGGAAGCTGCATCCAGGGCAGGAGGCAGCTGGAGCCAAGATGGTGAGGACACACATGTTTTCAGTGGGCAGGTTCAGAAATCGGGAGAAAGGAGGCCCTTCTGAGGGCAGGTTGTACCTTTAGAAGTCTCACTGTTCTCTGTCTAGCTGGTGTCCGAGTGGACTGCCAGCGCTTGTTGTTAGTGCCCCCAAGTGATTCCAAGTCCTCACGACCCTGTGGGCAGCAGAGCGGACCTTGCCCGGTCGTTCTGCGCCATCCTCTCACCTTCCGGTGCTGTATCAGACAATGCTCCACCTCTATTCACAGGGTTTTCATGGCCAATTTTTTTGCAAGTGGGTGGCCAGGTCCTTCTTCCTGGTCTTAGTCTGGAAGCTCTGCTGAAACCTGTCCACCACGGGTGACCCTGCTGGTATTTGAAGTCCCAGTGGCAGAGCTTTCAGCATCAGAGCAACATGCCGCCGCCATAGTAGGACAACCGACAGACGGGTGGTATGGTTCCCTGACGGGAAACGAACCCAGGCCACAGTGCTGAGAGCACGGAATCTTAAGCACTAGACCCCCAGGTGGCTGACTAGCCTGCAACCCCATTCTCAAATGTGAGTGGCCAACCAAAGGCTGAGTTCATAACTGAAACCTTGGCAGCCGCCTTCCGCAGAGCTGGCCCAGGCAGCAGGCGCCACCGTGCAGGGACACAGGTTCCGAGGGCGGGGCAGGAGACCAGGAGGCTTTGCGTGGAGGACCCTGGCACCAGAGGGACCAAGCCTTGGTCAAGGTTTCATCACAGAAAAGTGTATTTAAGCCTAAGTGAAAGCCAGGTTTTAAAATTTGCAACTCAATTGTGTGTCCGCGTTTTAAAAGTCAAAGAAACCAGAACTAATCTTTGCTGAGCACAAAAAGGTGCCCCTGGCCCTCGACAACAACATCAGTGACAAGGATGGGGCATTCAAGGTGAGAAATGAGTGCTGGGAAGTCCCTGGGGCAGGAGGGAAGCAGGCAGACAGTCCTGCCCAGCTGGGACTCTGGCTCCCCCACCCAGCCCGACCCGACAGGGAGCTTCGCCATAGTCTGCACTCCTCCTGGACAGCACTGGTGGCCTCAGCGCTCATGTTCCCAACCAAGATGGCTTCGACTGCTGTACATCAGAAAGCATGGTTCTCAGTCGCATTTTCAGACTGAAAACGCAGCACCATCACGAACAAAGAGCGAGTAGCGAGGTCACTGAATGGGTTTGGAACAAGCAGAGTCAGCTCTCCAGGCAGCGCCCTGCAAGTGCCTGGCCTGGGCCGCATCCCTGCCCCGCCTGCACCTTCAATACTCCTTCCCCAGGCCCTGCTCAGCCACAGCCTTGAGCCTGGGGCGCCTCACCGTGGGAGGGGGCCCTGCTTTGCTCTGGGAAAGGTGAGGGCCAGCAAGGCTGCTGCAGGCAGGGCTTCCTGTGGGGCCTAAACCCCCAGGAAGGCCGAGACTGGGGAGAGGGGAACTAGGACCCGGGTGTGGATATGAGAGAAGAACATGGTGATGACACTGGAGTGATTAAGAATTCACTTCACCTTATTCCTAAATCTGACTTGTACGCATTCTACCAAAGTTTTGGTCCACAGGAGCAGATAAACCAGACTATATTAAATTCCAAATGCAGTTTAAAATGTTAGGAGGAAGTGTGTATAAATGAAGGGACACATCGAAGGCCTCCTGAGGGACCCTGACATTTCACACTGTACTTGTACATTTCAGCAAGCTATTTAAATCACCTAATGAAATTTATTTTTTGAATTTGAAACTTGAATAAGTCAGATATTTTTGTGTGTGTGTGTGTGAGGAAGATCAGCCCTGAGCTAACATCCAGCTAACCCTCCTCTTTTTCTTTGCTTTTTTTTTCTTTTTTTTTGCTGAGGAAGACCAGCTCAGAGCTAACATCTATTGCCAATCCTCCTCCTTTTTTTTCCCCAAAGCCCCAGTAGATAGTTGCATGTCATAGTTGCACATCCTTCTAGTTGCTGTATGTGGGACGCCGCCTCAGCATGGCCGGAGAAGCAGTGCGTCAGTGCACGGCCGGGATCCAAACCCAGGCCACCAGCAGCGGAGCGTGCGCACTTAACCGCTAAGCCATGGGGACAGCCCCAGTCAGATATTTTAAAAACCCTGGTAACTACCAATAATAGCCTTTTTGCTACTACAGCGCCAATGCCCAGCTGGGCCTGGGTGGACAGGGGCGCTAACCGCTCCAGCTCCTTCTAGACACGTTCCCCCAACACACCCCCTGCTCCTGCAGGTCACTGCACAGCTTCAGGGCCCTCACCAGAGCCGGGCCCTGCCCAGGAGCTGACAGCCGGGTGGGCGGCACCTACCTGCGCAGCGTGAAGCGCACCGTGTCCTCGTTGTGGGAGGCCACCATCACTTCAGCCTTGGTGTTGTGCATCAGCTCCTCCAGGACGTAGTCGAGGCACCTGGGGAGAGCGCCCCGTGAGCAGGGCTTGGAGAGGCCCCCAGGGGAGGCCGTAGGCAGCCCAGGGCCATCCAGCAGCCCGCTCTCCCAAGGGTGCCCATGGCCACAGGGCCAGGGGACGAGCACCCGCCATCAGCACCTCATGAGTAAGAAAGAAAAGGGGAGCAGCCTCTGGGGCCGGCTGTTTATGGGGGACCAGCTGAGGCACAGTGCCCCTTGCCCTCTGACAGGTGCGGCTTCACCTCCGGGAAGGAGTCTGCAAGGAGACTGAAGGCCTGGCAGGGAGGGGCCTCCCTGCGGCCAGGGGAGGGTGAGCGGTACCACAGCCTGGCGGTGAGGGCAGCTGGGCAGGTGCACATTCTCCGACCAGCTGGGCAGGTGCACATTCTCCGACCCAGCAACTCCGCCTCCAGGAACCTACAACAGCTGCGTCCTCGCCCAGGGGTACAACAGACAGGGAGAGGGTGTGCCGCGAGTCGCCCCTGTACCGATGGGCGGCAAACCACCATAAAGCTCTCAGCGACTGGCCTGTGAGCACGAGCACCCACACTGGCGCTGGTTCACACCGCAGGGCTGCATGACTCGGGAGGCTCCAGGCACACGTGACACGGAAAGGCCACAGCGAGGATGGAGCGTACAACGCCCGCAATCGCACAGACTCGGAGCTCCTGGAAAGAAGCAGGGTGCTGCCGGGGAGGGGGCGGGGAGACACTGGGTCTCACAGTCAACCTCAGAGAGAGAAAAGCTCCAGGCGGCCTGTCCGTGCTGCAGGACAAGACCAACAAGATGGACAGAGCAAAGGAGACGCAGAGCAGCTGAGCGCCCTGGCTCCGTGCAGCGCCGGGAGGCTGCACGGCTCCCTCTCCCGAGTCCTAAGTGCCCGCAGGAGCTGGCTTGGGCACCTGAGCCAGTTTTGTTCAGCTGACTTTTCCATGTTAAAAAAGAGAAAACCCTTAATGGTTCTGGAAAAAGTAAAATGAAAGCAGACAAGATATCAGTTCTGGCCTCAGCGTAGAAGTCTTGCTCCTACCCGAGACTTCTGACCCCAAGGGCTGCTCCCCCTGCTGACAGGGCCACATCGGGTCAGCTCCAGCACCAGGCGGGTGCTAAGCTGCCCTCGCCCTGTTTTCTCTCTCCCCTCCCCAGGAAGCCTTGAGGCTCTGGGGGCCAAGAAGGCTGGTGCACCTGTGGTACATGGCGCTGGTGGCCTCATAGGTGGGGTTGATGGGGTCCTCGTAGCCAATTTCCACAGCACGGGCACGCTCCTGGGCCATGTAGGCACCCCGCACCAGCTTGGCCCCGAAACACCAGCCCTCACGGCGAGCCAGCTGCACATCCAGGGTGACATTGTCATAGGCGTCCTGCAGGGCCAGGGCCAAAGTCAACAACAACCAGGACAAGCCCCCCTCCAGCCTGTGTCCCCTGGGGCCGCCCAGGGGCTCTCAGGATGTGGTCAGCGTGGGGCACCAGGGCCGGCAGCCAGTGCCTGAGGAGGTGCCCTCGTGGGGGATCTGGGAGCCAGGTGTGCGTGAGGAAGGCCCTTTGATCTCGTCTTCAAGGAATGGTGACAGTGGGGAGACCTGCAGCCTCCTCTGTCTGGCCTGGGAACAGCCCTGTGGGGGACAGGTTAGGTGCCAGCAGGCACGGTGTACCCGTCTCCTCAAGTTGAGTCGGGGGCAGGGGTGCTGCATACTGCGGGCACCTGCCTGGACCCCCTGCAGCCTCGACATGGACCCACCCCACGTCCTCCAAACACCTGGCTGGACCCCAAGCAGCCCAGCCCCGGTTTCCACTCAGGGGTCCCGCCCTGAAGCACCCCTGGGCTCCCTAAGGTACATGCAAAATTCTGAGCAAGGCTTTTCCTGGGGAGGAGCCCAGAGCCTTCCACAGACCTTGAGAGGAACCCGAAGTAAAACAGGGGGGAGAAAATGGTCACTCGTGAGGCCTTCAAGATTTGGGGATTAAGGTACATTAAGTGGACTCTAAAGAAGCTCCTTCACCTTCCTTGTGCCCCTTGAACACCCTGTCTGAGATCTGAGGCCCAGAGGAGGGGCCAGCACAGAGCTGGTGACAGGGGCCTGGAGCCTTTCTTCTGCTCAGAGGCAGTCATGCTTGGGCCGGGGCCTCTCCCCAATACTGGGGCCAGGGGAGGGGCATCCTGTCACCTGAGGGCCAGTGTGGAGGCACCAGGGGTCGCACCTTGAGGTAGCACTGGTACGTGCCGAAGATGAGCGGCTTCTCTACATTGAACCTACGCTGCATTTCCAGCGTCAGGCGGCTGATGGCCGGCTGGAAGTAGGTCTGCTCAGCGTCCACCATCAGCCGCACGCCTGCCTCAGCGGCTTTCTGAGAGCGCAGGGGAGGAGAGAGGATCTGTCTGGGGCTCAGGTGAGACAGGTGCTCCACCCCCGGCACACCCCGGGTCCCCGACCTTGGCCAGAATGTCCATCCTCTGCAGCATCCTCGTCATCTGCAGCTCCTCCTCCTCGGTGAACCGTGACAGCAGAGGCTCCAGCTGTCCCGTCTGAGGGGCAGCCTTCAGTCAGGCCACACAGAGCGCTCCCCGCCCAGGGCACCCTCCTGCCCTGTGCGGAAGGCCCACCAATGCCGGGTGCCTCGTCCCCAGGACCAGCGAGGCCACCTCACCCCCACCCCTCCCCTGTCCTGTCCCTGTTCTCACATGAAGATCAGCACCCTACCCTGAGGCCGGCCAGCCACATGGCACCCTGGAACCTCACAGCCAGCTAGGCACTCTTATCACAGAGCCAGCTGCAAGGGTCAGGCCTGTGCACCCAAGGTGTCTGCTCCCACGGCCTCCCCAGGACCCCTGACGCAGGGCGTCACCCTTCTGCTCCCACACAATGCTAAGGAAGTGACCCTTGACCCATCCAATCACCCGGAAAGGCTCAGACCCTAGAAGGGAAAGGGCTCGGAGGAAGAACCACGGCTACAGGCAGACGAGGACAGCTGTGGCGCACAGACGGACACGCAGCAGGTCGGAGGCACCCTCGCCAGACGGTGGCCTCAGGGAGCCAGAGGGTCAGCAGGAGGCCGGCGCTCGGAGGCAGCAGGCACCCACCCTGTGTGTGGGCCACGCAGCACTGGGGCCCTCTGCTCACTCCGCCTGCCCACTGACACTGCCCAGGGCACTCCCTGCGGGGCCTCGAGCACACCCCTCCGGCGGCCTGGCTCAGTGCAGCGGCTGCACCCCCAGCCGGCCGGGGTGGAGGTTTGTGAAAGGCAGTGTCTGGGGATGTTTCCCCAAGGCCCTTCGGCTGCTTCGTCACATCCCAGCTTAGGGGGTGGCTTCAAACACAGCTGCAAATTCCTGGACACCCTCTCATGGGCCGGTGGAGTCTCGTCCCACTACTCCTGAACACAGGCCGGCCTAGCGACTCACTATTAACAAACAGAATTGGGGGCCGGCCCCGTGGCTTAGCGGTTAAGTGCCCGCGCTCTGCTGCTGGCGGCCCGGGTTCGGATCCCGGGCGCACACCAACACACTGCTTCTCCGGCCATGCTGAGGCCGTGTCCCACATACAGCAACTAGAAGGATGTGCAACTATGATATACAACTATCCACTGGGGCTTTGGGGGGAACATAAATAAATAAATAAATAAAATCTTTAAAAAACAAACAAACAGAATTGGGCAGAAGTAACACCATGGGATCCTGAGGCTAGGCTAGAAAAGGTGACAGACCTTCTGCGTGGCTCGTGGGGACACTTGCACTGGGAATCCAGCCGCCACACGGTAAGGAAACCCTGGCTGACCGTCACCGCTGGCCCTGTGAGCAGGGACGCCCCAAAGACCCCAGGCCCACCAACCTCTGAGTACAACCTACGGAGACCCTGAGCGAGAGCCCCCCCAGCCAAGGCCTGTCAGCCCCAGACCCAGGAAGAGGAATGTAATGTGACTGCTGTCCTTCCAGGCCACTGAGGTTTGGGGTGACCTGATGTGCAAGGACACGTGACACAGGGAAGGCCCCCCCAGACACCCCTCTCCTCGTGGTCTCATCTCACTGTGTGGGGCACTAGTGGCTCTGTCTTCTTCCCCCAGACCACAGGGGTCTCGTGGGGCTGGGGAGGACAGGGTCTTGGCCCTGCTGTGTCCCCAGCTGCTGAGCCAGGGTAGGCGACAGAGAGAGTTTCCCTTCTCCACGCAGCGCCCTGAGACAGGGCTCGGTGGCGAGGGCGGCAGTCAGTCACCTGCATGTTCGGGACCACCAGGTGCTTGGAGAGCTCGGTCCTGCTGTCGATCAGGCTGCTCCAGTCCAGCAGGTCCAGGGTGCTGCGGGAGAAGGTGTGTCAGCACAAGGGCAGCAGCAGCTTCTCCACCCAGCCACATGGCTTTATCCACGGGCACTAGGATCTGTTGGGGAACCCAGGCCCCAAACCAGCCCATTCCCTAGAAGAGCATCCCCAAACCCAACCCCCAGAAAACCTGCCTCAGTGTTCAGTTTAAAAGATAGATAAAGTGTGAACACCGTCCTCTGTTTAAAGAAATGGAAACCAACACACGAACTTGCTTGCATCGGGGCAGCGGCAGCTATAAAAACCCAGGGCGCACACGAAGAACACCATGGGCCACGTCAGGCTGGAGGAAGAGCTGAACACGGAAGACCAGGCAGGAGGCAGACCAGCATGTGAGGGGACGGCACGCTGCTGCCAGCCCAGGGGCCCTGGTGACCTCTGTGCCAGCCCCCTCAGCATGAGGCGTAGGACTCTCCAGGACCGCAGCTGCCCTGACCCTTCACCTGGGTCCCAGGGAGGGCTGGGTATGGCAGCCTCACTCCCACACCACCAGTGGAGGTTGCCGAGTCGGAGCTGGCCCCGCGCCCACGCTGCCACCCAGCCTTGTGCACTCCCGGCTCCCCGTCAAGCCCTGTTCTGCGTGTCTCGGGGGGAGCAGGTCCTTCAGCATTGTCGCCCCGAGGCCCACGCTCTCCAGGGGGACAACCAGGATTGGGAGAAGCCGCTGGGGCTTGGCTAGAACCACAGCTGAACTGGGGCTGCCCTTACCCTGACACGCCCAGGGTCTCCGTGGTGAACCAGTTCTCTATCTCAGTCCTAGACGCGATGCCCATCTTTGCCACGCTTTCCTTGAGAAGAGAAACAGCGTCGGTCCCGCAACCTCCCCCGGCCCCATTCACTAACATTCCCGGCCCTCTGCCCATTGGTTGGAGATGCTGTTTTGACTCTATTACACTGTTAGAACAGGATACGGTTCCGGCTAGTGTTTCTGCTCCACAGATGGGTCTATACCCACGGTCCCCGATTCCCCTCCAGTCCCTGCGGCTCTACAGCGCTCCGCTACCCGCAGGCCGCCCTCCAACCCTCCCCGTCCCACGCATCCTCAGCCTCTGCTCAGATTCCTTCCCAGCAGCTGTGGGCTGGGCTGCAGGCCCTGGAGCAGCTCCAGGAACCCACCTCAGGCACGGCCTGGCCGGCTCCTCCCAAGACCCCACAGTGCCCCGGGCAAGGGCTGCCCCACCTGCAGCACGGCCACCTCCAGCCTTGTGTCCACGGCAGCCAGCCCAGCCTTCCCTTGCTCAGCAGCCATTTGGTGAAAGAACTGCCTCCACTTCGTCAGGACATCCGAGAACTGCAGCTGCAGATGCGGGCCTCAGCGACGGTCTCAGGCCCACGCCCAGCTCCCTGCCCTAGGACCCCCGCATGGCCCCTGGGCCCCTCCCAGCCCGCCTGTGTGCTTGTCTCCCAGCCTCACGGTATGCGCACAGGAGCTTTCCCTTAATGCTCACGGCACCCCCAAGTTCTTGCAAACTCTCTCTGCAGGTGGAAGGTTCTGGCACTTACCAGAAACTGGGGTCTCCCCAGCGCAGTGAGCTTAATGGCTGAGAAGCCGTCATCGCTGGCTTCGCCTATCAGAAGCCACAAGAAGGGCCCTTAGGTCTCCAGAGGGGCAGGGGGAGGACCAGGAGCCTGCACCCAGAATCTGCACCACTCACGAGTTAGGACGCATCTCACCGGGGGTGCGACAGACTACAGGGTTCTGGTGGTGGCCCTTCTTCCTACTGGTTACCTACAACACCCACGGTACTAGGTCCACCTGGAAGATGGGCCCCGAGACCACTGGGAAGCAGTGAACAATCCAGTCGCCAAATCTGTCAGTGGTACAGTGACACCAGTAGCTCTCTCCTCCCTCCCTCCACCAGCCTGAGTGGGGGCCGCAGGGACACCCAGGGCAGCCATGCTTCCTGGGCAGCTGCCTGGCCCCTGGCTTGTGTGCCTTGCCCTCCTCCGAAGCAGCTCCACAATCTGCTCAGCAATCTCAGGCTGAACAGCAGAGGAGAGCCCACTGAGGCCCCCGACGCCCTAGGCCACTAACCACCTGTGGGCAGGAGGACCAGGATCCTACCTAGCCCGTAAACGCCCGTGTGCATGGCGGCTCCTGACGCCACGGAGGTGGGGACAGACTCAGCAGGGTTCGAGTTTGCCACATGGGTCCTGGAAGGCAGTGGGCAAAGGAGCGCGAGACCTGCCCGTTCCTTCTCTGCCTGTTTCCTCTCCATGCCGTCGGCACCCCAGGCTGCCCACAGGGGCTCAGAGAATGCAGAAACGCCCAGCAGGGCACAGACTGGAGCACAGAAGGCACTGAACCACCACACTTCTCTCTCCTCCGGCTTCCGGAGCCCATGACTCACATCTTGGCTTCTGCAAGGCCCTCCCCATCTATTTGCCCCCAGGCACCACAGGCAGGGAGGCAAGGAGTCAGCCCTTGCAGTGGACGGCCAAGTGTCTGTCTGACTGCCGGGGTCCCCCAGCACCACTCTTAGGAGGCTGCTTCCAAGCATCACTCACTTTCGTTCCTTAAAGTGTCGAGAAGGTGCAAGACCCACTCACGGGAAGGCTGCTGAGGACGCACAGGGGCTGCGCTGTGACCTGGTGGGTTTCTGAAGACCAAAGGACGCGGAGGCCTCAGTGACCTCCCAGCTTAGCGCGCGTCCCTCGGCAGACGCTCCTGCCCAGAAGCTGTGCAGGGTGGAATTCTCTGCTAGAGGACATGGCACCAGCTCCCGGACGAGTGCAGCCCTCGGCAAACCATATCTGACAAGAGGGAGTCCCTGCCCAGAACTAGGTGCTGCTCAGCCCACCAGCAGCCTTCCTGAAGGTCCACATCCAGGGACCTGGTTCCCGGGAGCGGGGTAAGAAGCACCTTCCTGGAGGCAGCCAGGCTCCTCAGGAGGGGCTGAACACAGGTTTGACCCCGGCGTGACCCGTGCCCAGCCCGTGGCTCTCAAATGTCACCTAAGTCATCCTCCTGATAGTCTGGGCCGCCCAGACAGAGGAGGCCCCAAGTGTGTGCTCCAGCCTCACGTTCACCCACCAGCATCTCCACATGCCAGGGCTCAGCCCAGGCTGGGCCTGGCATGTGGACAGCCGGCAAAGAGCAGGGCCCCACCTGAAGCCTCAATGCAGCGCAGGAACGTCTCCATGTGGCTGTCACACTTGGCTTCATTGGCGTAGAAGTAGGTGCGGGCGCTAAAGACACCGTCCCTGCGGTCTCCGAAGGCCCGGTGGGCCTGGTACTGCCTCTCCCTCTTACTGGTGCCTGGAGGGGCGGGCACACGGTCTGAGCACCCACCCGGATCTGCGCTGTGCTCTGGGCTCCAACCCCACTTTGGGCAGACACAGAGCTTCCCCGTGTCCAGCAGGCCCTGCTGGCGCCCCACGGCCCCCTGCACAGTGCTGCCCACCACTCCCTGCCCCGGCACTCGCTGTTCCTTCTCCCTGGCTGAGTCCTCATCACGTGGCAAACCGGGGCCAGAAAGGCAGAGCCCAGACAGGCCATAGGCCGTGAGGATGTCAGCACAGGTGGGGCAGTGGGCTGGGCGCCCGTGGCCCAGTGGGGAGCCGCAGCACGGCCCCTCGGCCCGAGGCTTGCTGTCCCTGCGCCCAGGCCTCCCGAGCACAGGATATGTGTGCGGGCGGGGAGTGTTTCTTGGTGAACAGCCGCCTCTTACTCACCGCTGCCCTCCTTCTCTGCAGCCGAGGTACAGGACCTGCAGGAAGGTAAAGAGGCAAGGTCAGGGTCATGCCCCCTGGGGCACAAGTGTATTCCCCTCGAGGAGGCAGAGGTGAGAGAGAAGCTAGCGCCTGAGCCCTGCCGCTGCCCTGAGGAGGAGGTTGTGTGAAAGAGGCCGGGTCAGCCAGGCAGGGGAGAGTGACTGCTGCCGCCTGCCTCCTCCCCCGCCAGGCCTCCAGGGTCACAGCCCCTGAGCCGAGAAGGGCAGCAGCCTGCACACACCACCCTGGAGAAGCCTCTGGCTCCCAGGAGTGGAGCCCTCCCTACGACAGGTGGTGGTGAGTCAGACCACTCTCAGAACAGTCCGGTGGAGTGAGGCCCTGCTGCTGAGGACAAGACGGCAGCACGGGGCCAGTCAGGGCTGAGGAGGGACGGAGATGGGGAGGCCACCAGCGTACCCTCTGCCCTCCACGCCCCACATCCAGGCACCTCAGGCTGAGCTCTGGCTCCCGCCCCCATACAAGGCAGGCCCCCCTGCCCGCCAGCACCCTGCTTCATTCTTGCCCCTTAGGCTTATTTTCCAAGCAGCAACCAGAATTTTTCTTTTAAAATGCAAACCCTCCCCTGGCCTCTCGTTGTACCTGAATAACACCCCAAGCCCACATGAGGACAGTGAGGCCAGCCCGTGGTCCCCTAGCCAGAGTCACAGCAGATACCATCCTCCTCCTCACTGTGGCTGTGGTGTCAGAGACACCCGAGTCATGGCTAAGCCTCCTCAGATGAAGTACTGTCACTGCCTGCCGCCCGGGGGGCACCCAAGCAGCTTTGTCTACCCTCTGACTTTGTATTAAAACCTCTTAAATCAGGGACCCTCCAAATCCTCAACAAGGTCCCTGCTAAGCATTTCCACAGCGGGCCCGTCCACCTGCGAGCCCTGGCCAGGCTCCAAAGGCACAGGGATGCGAGGGCCACTCTCTTTCTAGCTCCCAGCAGGTTCAGTAGCAGGAAGGCAGCCGGAGGCCGCAGCTATTTCCATCCGGGAACCTCCCGGGCACAGACCAGACAGGAAGTACTTTAGAAATGGGCCGAGCAGAGAAGCTGGGCCGGCCACATTGCCGGGTGGTCAAAGGCCTGTCTCAGAGCGGACAGCACCCGGCAGGGACAGGGCCGCACTCTGGACCAGGCCTGATGGCTGGGTCACAAGGAGACAAAAAAGGGCAGTTCCCAGGCGCAGCAAGGGTCATGCCGTCACGGGGGAGAGAAAGGAGCGCCCAGTGTGCACACCCACATGGGTACACACACACATGCACACACACGCACAGCCCAGAACGTGGAGGAGGGCACACTGGGGCAGGGGACAGAGGACAACACGATGCCCCGGGATCTGCGGAGGTGGCAGGAAGACCCCAAGCACCCCTTGGCTAACCCCAAGCTCAGCTCTCAGCAGGTGTTTTGGGTGATTTATCGGCCTGATACCTTTTAGAGAAAAGCAGAAAGTGAGGGGAGACTATGCCAGCCACCCTCACTCCAGCTCCCCCCAGGGAAACAAGGCCAGGCGGCAGGAGGGGAGAACCTGCAGCAGAGTCTGGCAGAGCCTGTGAGCACTGGCACGCCCACCTCCCCGGCCCCGGCCGCAGGCACACCTGAGACACTGCACACACCAGTCCCAGGGGAGCTGCCACCACCCTCGGGACCAAGGCCCAGGCAGCCCCCAGCCAGCCCTGGGTCTGCACAGCCAGGACAGACACACCTGTCCTGGGCGTCCTCATCACAGCTGATCATCAGGAGGTGTCCTAGCCCCCTTCCCTGTCCCTGCAGCTCTCAGCACGCTGGGGAGACACTGTGGGGCTCCTCGGGTAGAATGAGGCCCCAGCCTCTGCCTTCTAACAAGTGTTCCGGGGCCGGCCCTGTGGCTTAGTGGTTAAGTGCACGTGCTCTGCTACTGGCAGCCCGGGTTCGGATCCCGGGCACACACCAACGCACCGCTTCTCCGGCCATGCTGAGGCCACGTCCCACATACAACAACTAGAAGGTTGTGCAACTATGACATACAACTATCTACTGGGGCTTTGGGGGCAAAAAAAAAGGAGGAGGATTGGCAATAGATGTTAGCTCAGAGCCGGTCTTCATCAGCAAAAAGAGGAGGATTGGCATGGATATTACCTCAGGGCTGATCTTCCTTACAAAAAAAAAAAAAAAAAAGTGTTCTGGGAAACAGCATCCCACCCTCCCGTGGTGGCCGCTCTCTCCCTCCTGCACCTCTGGCCTCCCACCTCCTGCTTCCCACCCTGGAAGGCCCTTCTGGGTCCCCTCCTCACGCCCTCAGGAGGCCTGCTGGGCCTCATGCACATGCAGAGGCCTCCACCCTTTCCGTGCCTCTGACAGTTCTGCCCAGGCAGGCCCAGCACCACCTGTGCTCCACCCCCCCACCACGCCGTGGCCTTAACTGGGGACAATGGCTTGTGATCACTCCCTGGAGCAGGGTCTAGAGGCCTGTGACAGGATTAGGAAAACAGACCTCTGAGCCCCCCAGGACACAGAAGCAGTTCCCCACATGGGGCTGTGTGGTTAGAGCCACTCCAGGCCAGAAACACCGGGTGAGCCATGCAGGCAACCTGATGGGGTAGACGTCCAGCCACTGCTGGCCAGCCTGGCTCTGCCCCTCAGCACAGGGGGGCCGGCCCCCAGCAGAGCTGGCCGTGAGTCACCCTGTCAGGATGGGGAGGAACCGCTGCTCACATGCCAGAGCCCAGCACGTGGGGCTCCTGCAGGACAAGGGGTGCCAACAGCATGGTGGCCAGGGCTGCGGGCTCACGGCCCTGCGGAGAGCGAGGCCGGCTGGCCTCCCAACGCTGCCCTGCAGGGCAAGGAGGAAGCCAAGCAGGTGGCCCTGGGAAAGAAGTCTGTTCACACCAGAAAGAGAAAATCCCACTGTGAAACCGCCCGGCTCCCTCCAGACGCAGCGGGCACACAGCCCATTCGTTATTCAACAAGCAGCCCCAGGGAAGGCTGCAGCCCTGGCCCTCAGCCTCCCTGGGAACACAGGGGGTGCCCGGCTGGAGAACCCCGCCCTCCAGACAGCGAATCGCTGGGCAGGGGCTGGGCTCCTCAAGCCAATCGGCCGCCGGCACTAAGGCTCAGCTTGGGACATTCCGTCCCCAGGGCAGGAGGCCCATGTGATGCCTTTCCTTCTTCTGCCGCCCCCTCCCAGGCCAGAGCACACACCACAGCCTGAGACGGCCTGTCCCAAGCCTCACGTGGGTCAGGCACAGCCGCTGTCAGGACACAGGGGCCCCAGATGCAAGCGAGGGCCCCGCCTGGGGGCGCAAAGAGGAAAGGCTGGTCTTGCCTGGACCTCCCGTGAGGCCGCTACTCTGGAAGCAGAGGGTGACCTCGTCCTGTCATTCTGTCCTAAGGCCCAGCAGAGTGGGTCAGGGCAGTGCCTGTCTGTCCCCACACTCACTGCTCAGAGAACGGGCCCTGTGGCAAGTCAGTGACCTCTGGAGGAGGCCCCCAGGCTGGCGTGCCACACCACTCCTGGCTGCACAGTCCCTTCTCTGCAGACCCATGGGCAGGCGCCAGGCCTGGCAGGCTCCACAGCCACCAGGCAGAGCCTACCTGCAGTCAGAAAACCGTCTCAGGGCTCAGGCGAGGGTAGGGCAGAGGGACCTGTCCAGCAGTCAGGAACCCCCCGGGAGGGACGCTTTAGCAGAGCAGGGAGCCAGAGCGCCTCCTACGGGGTCGATGAACGTGTTCTGTAAACGGCCGGGAGCCTATTCTCAGCCTCGTGGGCCATACGGTGTCTGCCACAGCTACCCGACTCTGCCCTGTAGGGCAAAAGTGATTTGAATTTCATATAATTTTCACATATCACAAAATATCCTTGTTCTGATTTGTTTCAACCATTTAAAAAATGCACAAACCAGCTTGCAGACTGTACAAAACCAGGCGGGCAGGCCGGGTCGGGCTATGGACCATAGTCTGCCAACCCCATCCTCACCCCTCTTCTGGTGTCGTGCACACCAGTTCTCTCGTGAAAGCCCGGAGCCGTCCTCACGGGGCAAAACTGCAAGAGCCCCAGGCAGAGCCCGGAGGGCCGCTGGTCATCAGGTTCTCCTAGCCTTGGCTCCTCCTAGGCCAGCCCGGGGTACTCTGGGGTTACCACCCGACGGGGCAGGCCTTACTCCATCTCCTGGCGCTCTGCCTCCTCAGGGCTCAGGTCCTCCTCCACTCCATAGTCCAGGATGGAGCCTACGCCGAAGGCCCTGTTGTGCTGGATCAGGGGCTGGATGGACTCCTGGTCCTCGCCGGCCACAAACTGCCCATAGAAGGTCATCTTCATCAGCTTCTCGAACAGCCTTTGCCCCAGAAGTCTCCTGGCGAAATGGAGCAGCTGAAAGGCAGAGGGAAGCGCCTGTCCTGGGCCACCCAGACACCCCTGTCCCCAGCAAAACACCCTGCTTCCCCACCCCCTTCACTGCAACCACAAAGCCTTGAAATGCTCTCCCCAGGGCCACACGCGGCTCCCAGCCTTGATTTTACGGCGGAGAACACCTGAAGCAGCTTGCTTCTCTGATCACAGCAACTATCAATCACCCACTCCTCATGCAGGGCGGCCACTCTTGCCTCCCTGCCCTGCACGCTCACCCCAGCGGGGGCCTGATCACCACTTAGTGGATAAAGAAGTGAATGGCTGGTCTCTCCCGGGATAGCAGAGGGCATGTTCGTAACATTCTCGGTGTCCACACCTCAGCAGGTTATACTGTGGAAGAGGAGGATTTGGTGAGACTTTCTAGAAGGTGAGCACCTGATTTCTGACTTTGGTTCACTGCTTATTCCAAGTCCCTAAAACAGCACCTGGCCGAGCACCTGCTCTCCAATGGCTGCTGAACAGATGAACACATGCACAACGCAGAACGAGTCTGCCTTCAGCTACAGCCAGGCATAGACAGGCTGACAATAAGCCAGGCGACCATCTACAAAGGTCTGGGAGATGAGTGCCCACCCTGGGACCAGGGGGAATCGGCACAGCCATCTAGAGCCACAGCGGACCCCCAGCTCAGATGGACGTGGCCCTGACGAAGGCAGCTGCCCATAAACTACTCAGCTTTTTCCTCCAGTCACATTTCACCACATCCCAAATTTCTGCCATCATTCACTGAAATGTCCTGAGCCACTGCTTCATGCCCACCACAATTCTAAGCTGAACCAAGAAGACAAGGAACTCACATCCTAGTGGCAGAGAGACCTCGAAGGAGGGAGGGGCAAGTGATCCACTGAGTGATTCAGAATGGCGGATGAGGGAGCACTTGCCAGGGCGCGGGTGGGAGGTGTTTGCTAACTTAGATCTGGGGAGGGGTGCATGCCAAGGCAAGGTGGTGACATGGAGCTCCTGCAGTGGGGACAGACAGGGCGGGAAAGACTGAGGACAAGCAGAGGGCCCTGGGGTTGGGAGGGGTGCTGCTGGGAGGGCACGCCCACCACCTGTCTGGGAATTCCTGTGTGTCCACTGCCCCCCACTCCCAGCTCCAAAGCAGGAGAAGCCCGAGGTTTCTCAAACCCAATGGCTAACAGAACTCCCTTTTTTGTGGTGAAGATCTCTTGGGAATCACGGTTTCAGGGAACAATCTCTAGTCTAAGCAAAAGTACGAGAGAGTCAAACACCTTCATCCCCAAACCAATCCCAAGCAGCCCACTGGTCCAGAGTGCAGGCTGGCACTGAGTAGAGACACCTCGCGGCGCCCCAAGGACAAGAGTTTCCAGGCCATCATTTCTGCCTCGTTGCAGCCTCTGTGTCTGATTTTATTACATCTCGTTGCTTTTATAAAGAGAATTAGAAATGGAAAATGAAAGTGCCAACATGGGAGACGGGGCAGACCTCCTCCCCCACCTCACACCAAGCCTGGGCCAGAAGTCCGGGATCCCATGGGCCGGAGCAGCCCCCAGAGGAAAAGCCAGGGCTTGAATACATCGAGGATCACCCAGTGGCAAGCAGGGTAGAATCAGGGACCTGAAAACCATCACTGGGCTCTCAAAAAGAATCCCCGACACTGTGCATGTCAGCGCTGCAGACTGTCGGAAACAAACCATGCGAAGCAAGCCAACTGTCTACTCTCGGGCTGGCACACTTTCCAGGCACAAGTGGTAAATAAAGTCCTGTGTCGCCTAACGACGGGACACGTTCTGAGAAGGGTGTTGTCGGGCGATTTCGTTGTGTGAACATCACAGAGTGCACTTCCACAAACCTAGATGGTTCTATGGTACTGACCTTATGGGCCCCCATCATACATGCAGTCCATCAGGGACCAAACATCACTGTGGGGCGCAGGACTGTACTTCAGCCTGTGCGGGCCACACGGCCTCTGTCATTCCTCAACCCAACCGCTGCAGCGCAGAAGCAGCCACAGCCAGCACTCACCGAAGGAGCAGGAGCAAGGCTGACGCTTTGTCGACAAAGACAGGCAGGCTGGAATCCAGCCCCCGGGGCACGGGCTGGTAACCTCCCACACACCCTGCACTGTGGCTGACCTCCTGCAGGGCTCACAGGGCACAGCCACCCAGGTCCCCGGGGCCGGGCACTCGCCCTCTCACCCTGGTGAAGGGGAGGCCGGCCTGTTCACAGAGGACTATGGAAGCACATGCGTGGGGCTGGCAGTTTTCAAGCCAGCACCAGAGTAAAGCACCCCCTTTAAAACCATCCTGGCAACAGGTGTGCGGCAGGTGGCACTATCTGAGACGAGGACAGCCCCCACCTCTTTTCCAGGTGGGGGCAATCTTCACAGGTTGAGCAACTTGCACCAGTAACACACATGCTCGTTTTCACTGTGGAAGACTCCAACACAGACGTGTGCAGAGCAAGAACACGTACAGCTGGTTCTCTCTCCTCCCTACCCCCAGGCCCAGTCACCCTCTTCCGCAATGGCTCACAGCCAAGCACCGAAACCTACGTTGTAGAAGACCTGGATTTTCTAAACTCTTCTCAAAAAGGCCTGTCTTCCAGCAAGAGTGGGCCCACTGGGTCCAGAGCCAGTGCAGCAGCTCAAACCAGGCTCCTGCAGGCTGACACGCCCCCAGGAGCGGGTCTGACAGGAAATGCACAGACCAGCACTGGCTCAGCAGGAGGAATTTTCACCACAGGCTGGAGGGCAGGGAAGGCCCAGGGGTTCTGAGGAGTGGCCCACAACTCTGCAGCCTGGCCTCTGCCCCATTTCCTCCATCACCAGGCACCAAGGCCACTGTTACCAGCGGGACCACCAGCAATGACAACAGTGGAACAGGTTCCACAGGGGGCACACAGAGCGCCTCACACCCTTAGTGGGCTCCTTGAGGGTGTCCCCAGGGCACAGGAGGGACACCAGGAGAGCCTCTCACCTCCTCCAAGCACCCACATCTTGGTCCCTGCACTCTGGCACCTGCCAAGGCAGGCACCCCAGAGACAGCGGAGCTGATACGTCCCTCCTACGGCACCCCAGGACCCCCAGCTCCGCTGACTTCTCCGCTTGTTTGGAAACCAGAGAAGAAAACTCAGTGCTGTGCCTAGAGAAATGTGGCCCATTCCAAGCCCTCTCCCTCTCCACTTCTCCAGTTCAGCCCCTTCTTCCTCCGCATCTCCCCACCCGGCCCCCACTCCTGCCACCATCAGCCCTAGGCTCGGAATCTGAATTGTCCAGGAAGCTTTGGGAGGAACCAAGGCCAACAGCTCTGCCAGCCTCACAGTCCCTTCAGAGCCACCCGGCTCTGACTTGCTGGGGCTCCGCCCTCCCTTCCCACCCGCTGTGGCCTTGCCTTGACCTAAGCCTAGGATGTGGCTCGATGCTTCTCCTTGGTCCCAGGGGCTGAGGGAGGCAGCACGATACCCTCAGTACAGTCTCACCTGAGAAATCAACACCGCCTGCATGAAGAGCCTTCCAGACCCTCGGCACCAACAACTGGACCCTTGCAAACTGTCCCCAGGACCACCTTAAAAAAAGTGTCATCTCTACATCCCAGACTGACAGTAGCTAAAATAGTGTCCTGCTTTTTACTTCCCCAAAGCCCTCCCACTTTGTTACCATGCTCAAGTTTTAAAAGTTGGGTGTTTGAGCAGCTTCCTATTTTCCCCCACACTGCCTTTCAGAAGCGGCCTGTCTGGGGAGCCCCTGGGTCACAGCTTCCCAGAACTCTGGAGTCCTAGGCCATGAGCCCTTCAACACCACCAGACTTCCCTGCAGGCAACATGCAGGACACTCGATTTTAAATTTCAGGTAACAACTTTGTATTACTGCACGCGGTATATAGCTTAAAAATTAAACTGGTCTTTGTTTTTAGTTGGTAGTAACAGACATGTAGCAAAATTCACGGCCCGAAAGCGAGTGCAGGAAACACTTCCCTTCCTCACTTCCCCTCAACAGGCGATGCTCAAGAGGCCTCCGCTTTACGCTCTGAAACTTCACAACGGACCCCGGGATGGGCAGACGACCCCGCGTCCCGCCCACCGCCCACCGCCCACCCGCGCACCTGCTCGTGGCGCGCC